ACAAGTGACGGGCGCTCACTCCGTCGCGTGGATTCGATCTTACGACTGCTTGGTCTTCTGACCCTGCAGCACAGGCTTCTGCGGTTTAGCCCGCAGTGCCACCACATCCCTTTTGTTACTGCCTTAACCATGCCCCTAATAGGCTTTACAAAGTATGTCAGATAGTGATGTTCTATCCATTATTATGGACCACTCCTTCCCAGTGGGTTTCCATGGCCATGGAGGACTCGAACTGTTTCATAGTTTGTGGTGCGATGGAATAAACTGATGGGCCCTGATACAGGATCATTTCTTGTATATGTCCTAAAATTACACTTCTTCCATTGTAAACAGAGTTTTATCTGGGTTTTTTTTATGGGCCTACTTAAAAAAATGTTAGAAGCTCTCACGTGCCATATGCTATAAAACAAATGTTGACTACAGACCTCACTGTCCTAAGTTTCCTGATCCCATCAGCATAAACAGAAACTATAGTGAATAAAAGGTGGACTGAGATTCATAGTGCTCTGTGAATATTTTTAATGACATTTCCCCCCTTACAGTGCAGCCATGGAGACTGTTGATTTAAAAGGAATGGCAGCCAAATAAAGTACAAACAAGGAAAAACAATTCCGGAATTGCAAGATTTTAACTCCTGCACTGATGTTCCCTTTCAAACTGTAGCTCACAGGCAACATGGCACAAGAAGAAGATAGAACTGGTTTAAATGGAACAGTGGACCTAGACATAAGAAGCAGATCTGCCATGTGTAGAAGAAAAAAGGGGAAATGACTGGGGAAAAAAAAGGATTAGAAGAGGAACAAGAGCAGGAGGGAAGACTCACCCCCTGTGTGAAAAAACAATTTTACAATTTTGCATATGGGTTTATTATACTACCACTAGGACTCACCTGATTTGTATAGCTTATTGCCAAATATATTCAGTGGTTCTTAGATTTTGGTAGATTGTTTTGGTCTTGTTCTTTTCAGTGCCATTTTCTCTTTGCCCTCACAGTCTTCACCTTCATTCACACAACCCATCATACAATCGGCCCAGCTGCAGACACCCACGTGGTCTGAAGATCCCTTCTCATCACTGATGATGTCTTTGATATATGAATCACAAGCATGTCCATAACCAATACATTCAACAACAATGCAGGTCAACAAATGTGGCTGAACATGGTGAGAGTAAGGAAGAAGAAAGCAGGAGCTAAGGGAACAATATGCTACTAATATGTCCTGAAGCATGGTATAAATATTTTCCTCTCCAGCGAATTTCTTCAGTCCCATCAAATGTGCTAATTTCAAGAGGAATATTGCACAGAAAGCTTATTTGGGGCACTGTAATTTTAATAGTTAGGATGTGGGGAAATGATCTTTTCTTTATCCTTAATTTAGCTAATAGCTAGAGATATTTCCTCTATGAACGCTAATGATTACAAGATGTTTCTTCAAAACTTTTGATGACTGGCTGTAAGCTATGAAATATCTTACTGGCTTGAGATAATACTGGGGTACAGACAATGGAAACTGACACTCCTGTGCTTTTCTTTCTTTTTTCCACTTCTAGTGATGTTCAACGATCTCCTATTTGTTTTAGGAAGAACTGATGCTCTTTGAAAGATTTGCATTGTCCATCTCGATGTTTGTTTCCTTCTGATTTATAAATTAACTAATATTGCAAAACCAAAAAACAAAATTAAAAATTAGCCCATAAATCTCCAGCATTCTCTCCTTCCAGACAAACTGATCCTGGAGCAGCTGCCCCTGGAATTTTCTACTCTTCAGAGAATTGGTGACCTGGGAAACAATATGTTTAGTTTAAAGTGAAAACAGATGTCCGTTTGTTGATCCATAATGTGGCTTGGGCTTCTCAGCCCCGAGTAACACATTTAGGCAGTGCAATTGTCAGTTCAAGCAGGAGATACCTGATTCCAATTTTCACTTTCATTTTTGTACTCAGGTACACATACCTGAGATCAAAGTCCATGTGTGCTTGTTCAGGTGAGTTCATACAAATGAACTAAATGAATTAAAGCAGCTCTCAGCTGGATTCCAAGACTTATCTCTGCCAGTGATCTTTCCCCAAGCAGCTAATTTGGAAAGATTGATTGCTTCAATAGCAAAGCGGGGCAAATGTGTTCTTACTTACATGGTTCAACTACAGACTTTATTACCACAAGTTGTGGTAAAAACCACAAATCTAGATTGCTTTTAAGAGTCTATCAACAGCCACGTGACAGCAACGCTTGATGGCTATATTTACCTTCAGCACAGCAATGGTGCAAACTCTCCTTCGGCCCAAGATCCTGCCATTCTCCACATGCTCACTGCTCCCCTGCCTTTATTTCAGTCTAGAGACTCTGTGGAGAGCAAGCTCACATGTCTGGTTCTGAGGCTCAAATTAGATGATACAGGTAGGGCATCATTAGAAGCAGAGCACTTTGAAGTGCTAAAAGCTTTGTCTTGTTTTGGCCTAGCGTACGTTTGCTCCACTCCACGCTTTGCAAATTAGCTGGCTTTTCTTATTGGGGCCAGCCAACTGGTGGCAAACGTTGGCTTCGGCTATAAGGGTGATTGTGCTCTGAAGGAATGAAGTGCCTGGAGAAGGCCATGTTTCACTTAATGTGTGATTTGACTCTCAGGCATCGTTCCCCAGAATCAGGTGCAGTGGGCATGGTGCCCTGAGAGGACAAGGAAAGCCCTTGGAGGCCACCCCCCATAACTCTTTTCTCAGAGAAGCACTCAGAACAAGGAATACGGGGACTGGCCAGTTCTGGACAGCCAGATTATTAATTTAACAGCTGCCATATTTGTTACAGTTGGAAGGTGAAGTTCTTCAGAGTGCAGGTCATCCAGGCAGGAGGGTAAGTGACTGACTGCACATCTGCCATATCAGATGGGTCCCTTGGTTTGCCTGTTGAGGTGATTGGCCTTTTTGCAGGATCAGAGGCAAAATGCAGTTATGGAATAACAGTTCTTGGGGAACATCAGTGAGAAAAGGTTATTTTTGCAGACTTCTCGTAGATATACAAGCTTCTGGAAATGATGGCTTTCCAGTCTAACTCAGCATGACCTATCTTATGCTCTTATGAAAGGTCATGGGACATCAGTGCATAAGATAGAGTTTTCCTTATATCAGCAGCAACAACTAGATGGGTGAACTCCATCCCAAGGGAAGTCATACCTTCTCTACTGGTGATGGGCTTCCCGTGGGCAGCCAAGGTGATCATTTCAAATGTGGGTGAGCAGCAAAAGTGGTTTCAAAGCTGGCTTTTGGAGTTACTAATCTGTTTTTAAATAATGTTGACTTTTCACACTGGATTTTTAAAATGCATAACGCTGTTTTAAAGGAATATTTTAACCTTTTCTGACCATTTATTGCTTTGGGACCTTCGCAGGATGAATTCTACTACCACCATTAACAGTACTGCATTCTATTCTACAGTCAGGTTGAAAAGGCCAATTAAATGTATGTGAAGCATTTTCAACAGTGCTTGGGGTTTTTTTTAATAATTACATTATTTGCGTTTTTAAAAACAAATTGCATGAGGGATGGACAGCAATTGTGTGAGAATATATTGATTAAATGATCTTGGACTCATGGTTATTGGATCAGGATTGTCCACAGTTCACCCACAACTTATTTTCCACTGTTTAAATTCCAATCACTTTAAGTTATCTCACAGGTCTGTGTTGGGTAAAATAGCAATGCAACATTTTGGGCACAGAGTTCAAATTCTGCCTGTGTTCCTTAATAAACGAAAATTACTCTGACAATGATTTGAGACCTGGCTTCAACTCCCCACTTGGTCACAAAAACTCACACTCTCTGTGTATGTGTGTACGTGTGTGTGTCACTTTAATACTGTCACTTTAAGTCACATGCAACTTGATGGCACATAGACAAAAAGCACACACTGTGGGAATTAGAAAGCAAGGAATCAGTGCAACTTATGCAACCATAAACCATGCAACAAAATTAATATTCCAGTTATGTTAGCTGATACATCCATGCTGCTCAATCTTGATATGCAGAGGGAGCCATCAATGAAGGGGTGTGGGAAGCCTCAAGAAGATACATCTATATTCAAAATTGCTTCCTTTTGCCTTGGTGCTCAAGAACAGTATCCTCAAGTAGAATATTGTTCAATGGGCACAGAAGAGCACCTTTTCTCCTTTTCTTTTGGGGCAATGCACACAAGTCTGTATGGAGGCATCATGCCAGACTGTTACATAGGAGGTTCTGCTTGAGTACAACGTGCACCTCACTGCTCATTCTGCCTTCCGCTATTCACGGGAACACTGGATGATTCTGTACACTGAATCAGACCACTAGTCCTTCCAGCTCAATGCTGTCGGCAATCACTAGTGGCGGCTCTCCAGTTTCAGAGAGCATTCCTTCCTAGGACCAATTTGGTAATCCGTGGTATTGCTTGGTGATCTTCCATCCCAGTTCTCACCAGAACTGATCTGCTTAGCTTTGGAAATCAAATACGATTCGTGTGTTCATGGTGGCATAACCAAAGAACACAAATTCTGACCTTTCTTACTCAACTGAAGAGAAGAACCAGACAGAGATGTGGGAGATGCCCAAAGTCTTCTCACCCTCTACATTGCCCGGGCAGAGCATGGAAAAGTTACCGCCAGAATCTCCCAAACAACATAAGGGGATTGAGAGACTCACAAAAAAGGAAGCAAAGTTTCCAAACTTTTGGCCTGCAACATCAATGCATCTTGGCACGCACATTGCCAGGGGACAAGTGAGGGACACCAGAGGGCTTTCTAATCCCTATAAGAAGCCTTCTAGATAGGGTAGATCAAGGCACCCATGACGGACAGAAGCAAGACCATAGAGTTTGTTAAAAAGAGAGAGTATAATGAATTCCCACATTTTTATTGTACAGCAATTATTTAAACAGACTACAGTTGTTAAATAAAATCATTTCTGAAATGAAAGAAATTGCTGAGAGAAGGAGGAGGAGAAAAAGAAACAGAACCAAAAGCAAATGGACTTACCACACTGTGTGTGAACTTTTCTAGAGAAGTTCTACGACCTTGCTCATTCACGGGCTTTAGAAGGGGAAAAAAAAGTTAGGATGGGGGAAAAAATGCTAAAAACAAAAACAAAAAAGACCCTTCAGCTTAAATTGGCTTTGAAACCATTGGCAAAAGAAAATAAGAGAAAGATGAAACATTTTAAGCATATGGCAGCGGTTGTTTGCAACAGCAAAGAGAGAGAACCTTTTGTGATGTCCCCATTGGGAAGTATATCATATTCTTGGCTTAAAATATTGCTTTGTAGTAGTAGTTCAAAGTTACGTAGTTCACAAGGAGGATCTGTAGTACTACATCCTACAGGAGACTGACAAACTAAATTTTATTATACTGATGTGGACAAGTGATATGTGATATGGTTATGGTTGTACTGCAATAGTCTTCAAATTACTCTCTGGGGCAGTGGTTCTTTACCCTGGCCCTCTAGATGTTTCAGTTAGCAACTCCTAGGAACCCCACCCAGCTAGGACAAAAGTAAGAAATCCCAGGAACTCATCTGATTGCCGAGGAACACTACACTAAAAGAGCCAAAGGCCAAATCTTTGGTTACCAGTGTTCCATGGAAACACTTAGGAGTTTCTAAACAAGAAAATCAAAAATGGTAGATAAATTCACACTACACTTTCTTCGTCCTTCTGCAATGGATAGAGTGCAGAGAATGAAGCCCAATAGTGCTGAATTGGGTCTTGTATGAATGGAGAACAGGTAATAAAGCACATCTGGGGAATCTTGGGCAGAGGATTCCATAATAAAACCCCAGATGTGTTCCTCAACAGATAAGCCACTGTGGTTAGTGTTTCTTGTTTGTTAGAAATTTGAAAACAACAGGTGCAGTGGAATAAATACATAGAATTAGGAATGTGTGTATAGGATATGCATCTTGCTTGATATATTGACAAGAATAAGATAGAATGAATGCATCTGAGTGGCAAAAATGTATTTTTTGGATTATTTATTTATTTTAGCATTTTTATTCGGTTTTTTAATTGGTGCAATCAAAGTCAAGGTGGCTTTAAAATAAACTGTATTCCTTCTTTCTGATGCTCCTCAAACTCTAAAAAAACATGCTATTTGTTCTTTTTTTCATTCAATTCAAAAAGACTTGGCAATGTAACGTTTACTTAGAAGCAGGCCACATGTTGTTTTGTGGCGCTCACTCTGAGGGTAGATATGAAGCATAGCACTGCAGCCTCACCACAATTGTTGGCATAAAGTCTGGGCAAGATGAGGTTATATAAATAAATTTGGACTTTTCATCTGTTTTTGTTCTATTTTTTCAGAAGCTAGACATGCAAATAGAAAAATTTTATGACAATAAGAAAATTACTAGTACAGTGGTGCCTTGAGTTGCAAACTTAATTAGTTCCGGGATGATGGTTGTAACTCAAAGCACCATTTCCAATAGGAATACATTGAAAGGCGATTAATCTGTTCTGGCCATTTTTAAAGGTTAAAAAAAGGGCAGGAAAGGAGGGAGGGAGAGAAAAATGGGGAAAAGAGGAAAGAAAAAAGGTCATCACTAGGGTACATAGATCCCTCAGACAAAGGTTTGTGCTTTTAGGCACCAAAAAAAGAGAGGACAGAGAGAGAGAAGACAATGGGGGGAGGAGGGAGAGTTTGGAGTCTAAAACAAACAATCAAAAACCCCATTCCAGTAGTAACTAAAAATAGGGACTAATGCAAAAGTGGTTAATCTTTTTAAAAAAACCTAAGATGACCTCTAAGGTTAAAAAACGGGCAGGAAAGGAGGGAGGGAGGAAACAATGGGGAAACAGAGGCGCTGGTTGCAAGTCTAAGCAAAATGTTGCGACTGGAGCTGGTTGTAACTCAAGTTGGTTGCAACTCAAGACGTTTATTCAGTTCAATTGGCATGAGACTAATCCAGTTAGACATGAACAAAAAGATAATTCTGCTGGCAAGTGTGCCACTGGGCAAAATTAAATGATAAAGGCTGAAGGAAAATCTGTCAAAACAGTGTCATGGACACTGCCCCAACTCAGTTCACCTGGGCTGTATATATATCATTTAAGGATTTAAGGATTCATTCAATGACGTAAAGAACTTTGCATTGTTTTATTGAATCCTCTGATTTCCTCCTTTCAAGCACAAACCAGATGATAACAATGTAAGAACTGATAGTTAATCAATGTGACTTAAATATCTGTTCTGATTTCTATTACAGCCCTTGAGCAAATGGAGTAGAAGAGGGCAAATGATACTCCTATCTGGCAGCCTTTCCCCAACAGGTATCTTAAAGAGGAGCTGTATCACAACTCTCACCATCTCCAATCTGTAGAGGACCAAGGCAGGTGGGTTTTCCTCAGATATAGCTGTGCTACTGTGGGTGCTCAAAGAGTTTGTATGACCTGTTGTGGCATGTTGCAAAACTCCAATTCAGAAAATCGTGCATGTACAGGCAGATTCCCGCCCAGGCAATTTAAGGAAGATTTGAATGCTCACCTCCATGTGCATTGTTTCATTGGCGTAATATAATGTACAAGTGGAACCTCTACTTATGAACGTCCCTAGCTACGAACAATCCAACTTACAAACAGCTTCATTTGCAAAATTTTGCTTCTACTTGCGAACAGAGCTTCAACATGAGAACGAAAAAAGGCAGGGGAAAAGGGCGGGAAATTTAAATTTGCTAACCATTGGTGGTGAAGAGGCTGCTTCTTTGTAGCTCTTTCACCCCAACGGTTAGGAAAAGGGAGGCTCAGCCTCCTGGGCTTCCAGCATCGGCGCCAGCTTTCCTGGGGTTCGCCGCAAGCACCGCCTTTCTCCCCCACTGTGCGGCTTCTCCGCTGCCATGGGAGGCTTTCCTGGGGTGCCGCCTTTCTCCGCTGTCATCCACTGCCGGGCCAGAGTTTCCACACTGCTACGCAGGCTTTCTCGGGGTAGACCAGGGGAGAAAGGCAGCGCTTGCGGCGAACCCCAGGAAAGCCTGTGGTGGTGGCAGAGAAGCTCTGGCCTGGCAGTGATGGCTGGAGCCTGGGAGGCCTCCTGGCAGCGGCGGTCACAGCGATGGAGGTAAGGTGCTGCTTTTTGCTTTTTTAAACTTTTTTTTTTTGTCTTTTGCAGGGTGGGATTGGGTTTGTGGAGTTATATTTCTGTTTATTTTTGGATTTGTTTTGTTTTGTTGCAGCCCCACAGGCTTGCAGTATTTATTTTTTGGGATGCATTTTTTTTTCCTTTGGCCGGAACGGATTAATCGGTTTTCAATGCATTCCTATGGGAAATGGAACTTCTACATACAAATGTTTCAACTAACAAACATCGTCTGGGATGGATTAAGTTCGTAAGTAGAGGTTCCACTGTATATCTATGTTGTATTGAATCTTAAGTTATGTATCTTGAGATATCATTCTTCTCTGAGGCCACTGGAGATACTGAAAATTATCTTAGACAAGAAGTGCTGGATCAAGGCTACTGAATTTATGTTTGTCTGCTATTGAAAGTAGGACAGCAAATTAGTTCAAAGGGCATGCCACGTTAACTTATTTAAGGAAGCAACCCAGCTCTGACATTCCCAGACCAAATTTCACGTGAATTATGAGAGTGTCAGGCTGTCTCAGGCAAACAACTTTTTTCTTTACCTTACCTCCCTTCATTTTCACTTCCATTCATACTGGAATAAAAAATGCTGATTCTGTCTTTCAGTAATCCTCTTCTAAGGATTATTGAGCTGATGTACATGAAACTATCTAAAAACCTGAAATACACTATATTTATATTGAGACTGTGACCTCACACATACTTACTGTAATGCTGTAGGACGTACTTCCAGAATGGATGGATGTAACTTAGGGTATGTTAAATATATTGTTGGAGATCAAAGAATGCTAAGGGTGCACTGATAAACAGCTGTGTTCTGGTCTATGCTATTCTGCACAGTTAAGAATTGTTGGTGGTTGTATCTTTATTAACCAAAGTTAATAAAGTCACTTGGCTGGTTTTGACACAAAGCAAATGTTTTGGGAACAGTTTTGTACATTCTAGAAAATAATTTGTCTCTTAAGGGAGACAGAATAATTACAAACAGAAAAATTCTGTTTGTTACAACATGAAAACAGCACAACTCGTTAATGGCTATAGATGCTGAAGACAACACATACAAAATACAGAGTTGGCTTATGTATTTCTCAGACATGCAAAGAGCAGGTTTCAGTTGCCAGACATGAACAAACCAACCTGTAGTTGCAACAAACCATTCTGCATTGCTACTGAAAGTTACAATGCTTTGATTAAGAAAGTGCTCATTCCAATTAGCTGCAGGGGCACTGATGAGAAAAAAAAGCCAGTCTACATACTGCATCTATGTAGTCTATAATAAATACACAATTATAATTACATCTCTTTCGCTCTCATCTCTATCACCTGTCCCCTCCTAACCAATCACCAAAGAGGAAAGTCTCTTTGGGTGCAAGATCTACTGCTACGGTGTCTCCATGATTTACAGGCAAAATTCCATCTTGGAAGCTTCTGAAATATGGTGATTCATTTTACTAAGTGCAGATGTGAAACTGCCTACATTGTCCTAAAATTGAACTTATAACAGAAATAAAATCTTGCCATGGGGTAAACACAAAACCCAATAGAGCAAACTTAGCTGAGACTAATATAGGCAAAGTGTAGGCAGGAGAGAGAAAAAAAGTATGGTCGATGGTGGCTTGATTGCTATATTGGGGCAATGAAGTCATGCTGCGTTAACATAGAGTTTAAAAAGAGGCATCATTGATGCAGTTATTTGCTTCCAAAAGTTTTGATAGTGCAGGGATACCTTTTTCCTACAATAAAATGAAGAGGCACATGTCATTCCTAGCCTGAGACATGGAGAAATACACACGTGGTTTTCCTAATTGGGTGTACGAACACTGACAGAGCAGGCAATGCCCTCATAACAATGAGATGGCTCAGTTTATACCACCTCTTGGTGCTGCATCCATTCATCTTTCTTCTAACTAGGGCCTAGGAATGGGGCCATGCCCCCATATCTAGCTGTTGTAGGGCAAGTTGCACAAGTGCCTCCTGATACCACCCTCCAGGGTACTTTGCTGTTGAGGGCAAGTAAATGTATGCATCTGTGTATGTTCTGAAGTGAACATTTAGGGTATTTTACAGAGCACTTGGCATTAAGGATGTGAGCAGGGAAACATTTAGAATTTGTTTGTCTTGGGAACTTTCAGGGTTGATCCTCTAGAACATTATTGGGTTATTTAATTCTGAGGTTCCCATTTGGGGTTCTGACAAAAGCTCAGCGAAGCAAAGACCAGGGCTTGAAGAATAGCAGCTGTGGGGGGAAAGAACAGGGTTTTCAGAATGGGAGCAGCATGGGTGCCAATTACAAGGAGAACTTAGGGAAGACCAGGGCTTCAGGAAGAGTGTGTGGCAGAGTCAGAGAGAAAGCAGGGTGGAAGACTGGCTCTTGCAGAATGGTGGCAATGGGAGAGATAGTGACATGGCAGCAAGGAGAAGAACGGGGTTTCAGGAATTGTGGTGGTGGGGAAGGCAATGACAGGAGAGTGGGGGAGAAGAACAGGTCTTGCAGAACATCAGCGGGGGTGAGGCTAAAGAAGGAAGGGTAACACTTTACACATCAAATGGTTGTAACCCCATAGAGGAAACCCAACAGAAACCCAATAGAGTCTTTGGGACTCTCTCTTTCCAGAAGCTGAAATTATTTGGTTACAGAATCTCTCTATTGGAAATAATCACAAAACAACAACAATAAAACCCACGGTCTCTTTCAGGGGTGGTGCTAGCCTTTTGTCTTTCCAGAACGCACAACCCAACTTTGTACTCCATGTGCTTCTTTTTCAAATTTGAAATCAAGGCAAAAGTAGTAACACGTCCCTTGTGCCTTCTCCAGTTCCATGAATCTTTCTCCTTTCTTAATAAACAAACAAGCAAATCAACCAACCACAAGTAATACAATGTGGTGCTTTCTCTCTCTATGTATATATTTTGAGATACATCCACAAGAGTCAGGAGAGTGGTTACTGACACTGTTAATTCTGGCACAGCAGTTTCAAATGGAAGAAAGCCATGCTCCCATCTTTTGCATAGGGACAAAATACATTTCTGTCACCACTAGATCTCAGTAATGAATAAAATATCATACTTTCCATCATCAGATGATAGCTACGATAAGACAGCTAAATGTTGCTGAGAGAACTTGCATTCACAGCAGAATCTGAAAGAAAGCAAGGCTGTCCAAATGGAGGCTCACCAGGTTTGTGTGAGAATCTACTAGGAGCTTGCTTCCAGCACAACAACAAAATAACACATAGCAAAACCAACTCAATGACCATCACATCACGTGCAGTTTCCCATTCCTGGCAGACTTACTGCTATGTACACCACTACAAGAACCATAACATCGATTTCTGTTGTAACAGGACATCTCATTGGTCCCTTTTCTTTACATAGCATTCAGGATGGCAACAGGCACATAAAAGATACTCTGGGGACTAATATATTTCTCTGGTGCTGAATGAATGCTGAAGGTTGCTATGGATTTCACAGAACTGTTCAAACAACTCAACTGATTCCATGGATCCCTTCTTAGGAGTCACCTGCAATGTACAGACAAGTGTTCTCCCTTGAACTAGCATCTCAGGGGATAGGTCTACAGGTGCTTCTCTGAAGTGTCAGAGAGGTAACCCTGACCCTAAAGTGGGTGCAAATATTTTGCTCAAGAAGCCCTTGATAGCTCCTGTGTGTACAATGAAGCACTACACTAGAGTACAATGTAGAACTCAGAAACGTTACTTTGCACTAAAGCTCCCCAAATCCCATAGCCAGCTTAGCCCTGTTGACTGTGGGATAGCAGACGTTGCACTCAGGAAAATGAAATATCTGTATTCTGGGACAATTGTTGATTAGTCAGGTATTGATTATTTAGGGAATATGGACTTGCAATCAAGGTTTGATCAGGCTGACTTGAATTGGGTGAACTGTGCCCCAGCAGGACAGATGTAACAGACAGCAATATTGCAGGAAGTGGCAACAAGTTAGGGGAAAATTATCAAGCATCTTGAGCATCAAAGGTGTGTAGGAAAATTGGGAAACTCTCTTTCCAATATGTGCAAATATGGCTATGGCCAGAGGACCTTCTGAAAGTCATTTCAGCACAGCCAAGAATGGAGAGGAAAGTCCCTCAGCTGGGAACAGCAAGCCTTGTGAGGATCTGATAACCCGCACAACAAGCCCTTTGTTACATTCACCAGTTAACAATAGACAGAAACATATTGCTGATAATGGGCATGCTGGTATCCAAAGGAGAAAATGAATGGAAAGGTGAGCCAGTTTTGAGGAACAATCAGCCTGAGTTGTAAGTAGTGCTGGATTAAAAGAAGAGGGAAAATATATATAAATATATATCAACATACAGTAAAGTGCAGGTAGAAGGGGTGAAGGGGAGCTGATGGGAGAGCAGGAAGAAAACTCCAGGTATGGCATTCCAAGAAAATCCAGAAAGATGACATCTGGACAGAAGAGGATTTTGCACTATTTTCCGATTGCCATGTTCATGGTTCATAACTTTATTTTAGAAGGCTAAGTATGATCTTTGCCCCAGCAAAGGGCAGACTGGAACACTGAAGGCCCATGTTGGATGTGAAAGGCCACTATGGAGCCGTAGCTCAGTGGGACAGCAAGTGCTCTGCATGGCAGAAGTCTCCTGTTCAGTCCCCACTATCTTGGATGGCAGAGCTGGGAAGTCCTTGGTTAGAGACCCCAGGAGAGCTACCAGCAGCCCAAGCAGATTAGGCACACTGTTCCTACAACTCCAGCCATCTTGACATTGGCAGTGTTGGGTGGGAAATGATGGAAATTGGTGCAATGCACCTGGACAGTGTCACCTAGAACAGACAATCCTTGGGCATTGTGGACAAATGGTGTGACTTGGTATAAGAGAGTTTCCATATCTCATGACCCTTTCAGGGGGCTAACTCAACCCTTGATTACTGATGCATTTTCTTTCTAGGGATGCCACACATGGAGCTTCAAGGAAGAAGAAAGCTGTTTTCGCTCTCCTTTGGAGGAAAAGGAAATGCAGCAATCCCCCAGATCCCCCAAATAATTCAGTTTCCATGTTCAAACAGCAGCAAGCAGCAGGCAGGAGTCAAGAAGTGCTCAGAGATGCAAGCATGTCCTTCGCAATAGATACCTTCTTCTTTGCCATCAACAAGTCTTGGTAAGCATTAGACCGGAGAAAACGTGCATAGCTGTCACTCTTCATCAGCTTGTAAATATGTTCCTGTGGGAAGAGAAGACATGGTAGACTGAGATTTCTTATTGCGCACTGTTCAGAACATTTGAGGCACCTATAAGAGGGGAAATGAAATACACACGTGAAATGTCTTACTTTCTACCCATTTACTGTGATTAGTGTTTAACGGGGGGAGTTTTAGTTAATCTGTCCATTTATATGAAATATAATGGCCAAAATGCTATTGCTGATGTGTGCTGGAGAAATGCGCACAACTTGCTGGATGGTAACTTCTTAACTAGCAGCAATTTGCTACTGTGGTTTATGCCACTGCACTTATGCTGCCATACATAAACAATAGGGTTCTGGACACTTTATTGCGAGATTGGTTCTGTATTGAAAGATCCAGGATCGTGGGACAAACAATGATGAATCAGTGGCCAAAATTTTCTTACATAGCTACATTGGCATAGAATGAGGTTATGCCTGCAGAACTTTGCAAGAATTGCAGCCAGGCAATCTGCATTCTGTGCCTGATTGTACAACTGACTGAGCAGTTCACAGCACAACTAGTTCTGAAAGACATCTGCGGAACCACTTCCTGGACATGCTTTCCTCCTTGACACAAATTTTGCTAGCGCACAGATTTTGCTAGCTATGCAATAGGATTTCAGGCAACAAGTCCAAGTTTAGAACAGAGGTAGATGTCCAGGTCTCCTGATCATTTTGATTTTAGCTTGCAGAAGCTGCAACCCAGAGGCTAATGATAAGGGATTATGGGAAATACAGCCCAAAATACTTTTGGAGGCCCAAAGGTTCTCATTATGATCAAGAAACTATTGATTGCTTACCTGTAACTGCGGTTTTTTGAGTGGTCATCTGTGATCTCACATTAATGGATTTCCCTGTTCCTACATAGAATATTCTAGAACTGTCCGAATCTGAGGTGATGCATTTTTTTAAAACCATGCCCACTCTATTGTGCATATCTATTTCTTGTATTTATTTTTGTTAACTATCTCAACCCATTTGTTCAAAAATATCTCAGTTCTAAATGTACTGTGAATGACAGCATGCCTGGGACATCACAGATGGGAAGCTGGAGAGTCAAGAGAATTCACAGATGACTACTCAAGAACTTGTTTTTCTTGTGGTCTTTACAAACCCACATCAATGGGAGAAGAGCAAGCCCACCTAATGGAGGAGGGGTAGACGTCACTGTAGCAGTGACTATAATATAGCTTATTCAAAAATCTGCACCCTATTGTGATCTGACATCCAATCTATAGTGTCATCCAAATGTAAGCAATTAGGTGCACATAACTTCTGTACAAATTTCCTGCAATAGAAATCCTCTCAAAAAGGCCACTGAAATAGTTGTGGAAGAGACAGAAGGGTCATGGATAGAAGAGTTAATAGGACGTTAGGTAGCTTGTAACAGAGTTTGCAGTTACTATTCCCCTGGAGAGCTGTTGGGCTGAAACAGGAAATTCTTTCTTAACACCTGCCATAATGCACTAAGAGCTTCTGGCTATGCCATCAGAGCTTTGTTCTGAATACACAGGAGGCTAAAGTTCAAAGTATATCCAGGGTGCACATAGAAAGTTCTATAAGGATTGTTGTAGAAAGCAGGTAATATTCAGGCCTGAGTTACATAGATGGAAGGATGAGATGACTCTGGGTAGAAAAGCCATATCCTCATGGAGTATGACTTTGTCCTTATGAAAAACTAAATAAGGAGGATTGGCCTAGAGGACACATCACTCACTAGTCTTTCTACCTGATGCCATTGTCACCAGAAATCCCCTAAAGGCAGCAGAAATTAGAGAACTGCTGCAATACGAAACTGGCTAAGAACACTCTGCCTGGAAAGCAGTCTATTCATTTTTATTGGAGATACACATGCATAGTGGACTTTCTGGACCTCTCTAAAACCATGCATATTTGGTTGCACTTAGAATCACCATACTGTGAAATAAAGAAAGTGATTATCTGGATGGAATATTTTGCCATTCTTGATGGCACAGTAGGTCTGAGTGAACAGGTGGTCTTTGGAACCCCTAATCTAACAGCAGTAACCAAGGTGCAAACAAGGATTGTCTTGGCCACCAGGACGTTAACAGAAGGTAGCTGGCATGGTCCTGTCTTATCTCTTCCCTCTTTCCAGATGCTGCTGCTCAGACACGCAGGTTCAAGAGCAAACACTTATTTGCACAGTGAACTGCATATGTATCAGCTTTAAGAAGTACACATGTGAGGACTGGGACACAGGAATGCCACTGGTGTTCCACTGCAGAATTTTAAACACTTTAAAAAACATTGCAATTGGGTTGGAGCTAGATTTAGGTTTGCACATCTGGCCTGGCAGAAGAAGGCTTCTCCCCGGCTTTCCTTCCCATGGCTGTCCTTCCAAATTCATAGAACTAATACAGAACCTGCTAACTGGTGTGAACTATGGTGGTGCTGGGGAATTTCTGAAAACTGGCCAGAGGCTCCTTCAATGAATAGAGGCCCCAATCCACAGAAGGCAGATCCTGGATCCATCCCATTGCTTCACGTTCTTCCTAAACCTAGGAATGGGGCAAGGTGAAGAAAGGTATCAGCTGGTGACTTAGAAAAGACAAAGCCAGCTTATTCTCTAGTTACACGGTATGAGGGTCTTTACTCTTTTTTGAGGAAAAGACTGCCACAATTGTTGGAGTAATCTTGTGTAACTTGGCAGTCAAAGCTGCACTCTCCTTTGTAACCCACAGAGCGTGTCTTCCAGCTGTCCCTGGCTCTGCATCACTCTCATCACCATACCTGAGAGAGGGCCATCCAGAAAGGTCTCCATCTGAATTATGGCAGTAATCATTATGCTTTCCGTATACAATGTATCCAGGCTGCAGATAGGAAACTCTTAGGATAACTGATTATATTGATTAAAATCTTTCCCTCAATGGAAATGCCAATAATATCTGCTGATGCAACAAGACTGCTGAAATATATGCACCCTGCAGCCGACAGAACAAAGATGCAATTAGTGTTTGGCATTGAAAAATGTGTGTGTGTGTGTGTGTGTGTGTGTGTGTATGCCTCCCCGGTTACCTAGCCAGCTTGTTCTGTGTGTGTGTGTGTGTGTGTGTGTGTGTGTTTGTGTGTGTGTCCCTCCCCGGTTTCCCAGCCAGCTTGGCCACTGACCTGACCAAGCCCCAATTTGATGTGAGATGGTCATAAAAATTATCTGAGCAGTGGTTTAGCAGCTGAAGACAGCAGGTTTCAGCCACTGTATTAGCGAGTGTATTTTGTTTATCTGCATTACCTCCTGGCTCCCGAGATTTGGTAGCAAGTTTCCTTTCTCAGTGTAGTCATTTTTGTAAGCTGGGTGGTGTAGTTTTTACACACCTAATAGGCATGATAAAATGAGTGTGCTTCCTCTTGATAGTGATAATGACTACTAAGTAGCAGTAGTAGCTTTGATCACAGCTATTCTGCAGAAACTTGCCAGGCTCTTCTTTAGACCTGTTATCTTTACTACTTATCAGTGATCTCAAAAATGCATTAATGAGCATGTCTTTGTTCTGGGCTACAGTGGCCTGAGATTCAATCACAAAGAGGATAATGAAGTCTGAATACAAATATAACAATAATCTTAGAACTGCAGAGCAGGAAGGGATCCTATGGATCATCAAGTCTACCTCCTCTCGAGAAGGCACAAGTGGGGAATCGAACTCCCAATTTCTGGCTCCACAGCCAGAGGCCTAAACCACTGAGCTGTCCAGCAGGATCAAATGACCCTGACACATCTGTTTAGAAGTAGGGAGCCTGACATGTTGGGGCAAAATCTAGACCACCCGAACTCCCAGACAGATCCTGTGGTGTTTCTCAGCTGGGCATCCTCTCCTCCCATCACATCATTCTTTGGGACTTTCTCTGCTTTTATATAGTTCCCTGCCACCCACTTTGAAAGCCTGAAATGCTGTTCCAAAGGCTTGCCATGCTTTCAGGAGGGATGAAAAAGCACAGGAAGTCATAGGGAAGAAGCCTTGTATTAAACTAGAGAAGAGGATCATCAGGTGGGTGGTGGGAGAAATACCTATAACATCAATACAGAATGTGATACTTTCAAAAAGAACAAATTTCTACCTAGAAGAGCAGTAAGAGCTTCATACTGGTGCCTCCCCCACACACTTTACTTTTGTTTCCTGAGAATTTTGGCCTGTGGACAGAAAATGATTCCTCAACCTTGCTCTGCTGACTTCAGCCAGGGTGGCGGCAGCTACTGTCAGAGAGGTATAGGATTTCAGGCTGAAGCGGACAGTTTTTACTACTGCTACTGCTACTACTGCTGCTACTACTACCGTTTTTGGATAAAACTTGTATTGCTATATAATACCAGTCAATGTTTTTATAATTTGAATTGACTGTTCCTGGTGTTTTTGAATAATAATAATGCTTTTTTTTCTTTTTGAAAAAAAATGAGGACCATTTGAAAAGGAACTTGGTTATCAAAACATTCACAAAACAATAACTCCTGTTCCATCAGATCAAGAAACCATCCAATCTAGCATCATTGCAGAAGTGTCTTGCTAGATGCCTCAAAGAAATGTACAAGCTTACAACCAATCTCCTTTGGTATTCAGAGGTAGACTGCCTCAGAATGAAGAGGTTCTATTTAGCTGGTGTGGCAAATAGGCATTGCTAGTCCCTTTTAGCAGGACAGAGGTATATGAAATCAAATTAAGCCCAAAAAAGGGTGAATCTATAAGCATACATCCACATCACCGACAAAACAGAGAATTAGAAAAGAAAAACATCAAATTAGGATAACAAATATTGTGACTCCCCATATCTGATTTTTTTTTTAAAAAAAATAGTATTTCCCTGTACTCAATTGGAACATGTGAATGCATTTTATTTCTGGGACATTTGTTTTTTGATCTTTGGTTTTATTTCCTCTTAACACTTCAGCAAGATCGTTTCCCTCCCTTTGGAATCCTTGGGGAGAATTTGTCCCCTCTCTTCCCCTAAGCAGGTTTTGAAAGTGAAACAGAAAAGATATACCCACC